TGCAGCTATGGGATTAGGTGTAGAGGAATTTAATCTGGGGAAGGGAAGTCCCAGAGAAGTTTTAAAAATGTTGTAACCGTCTCTAACTTATACAATTAACCTTGTAGAAAAATTAATTTCAATAGTACAATGAAGAGCAAACTTGTTTTCCTAGAGTGTGTGTGTTTGCTTTTCTGTTGTTTAGCATTCAAGTGCATGTGTGGGTTGTTTTTTAATTAAGATGTAGGGAGGGGGTTTGAGTTAAGCATCCGCTGTGTCCCTGAACTGCGGTGTAGATGGGGACCGAAGCGCTGGAACCTGCAGCCCTGTTCCACAAGGGCGCAAGCAGGAGCAGCTCCTCCCTCCGCTGCTCCTGGGCACGCGGCGAGGACGTTTTCCATGCACAGCGAGAACACCCTGTCCTTTCCTATGGAGCAAGATTGGCATGTTGTTATTATTCCATGTTCGTCTGGAGTAATCCTGGCATGGATTGCAGGCTGTGCTCTGCTGGCACAGGAGCTCTGTGGGCTGCTCCCCAAGTTTTCCCTTTCTTTTTCCCTGCAGTGTCGTGTTACCTGCTACATGCAGGAACAGCAAGATTTTTCAGCTAGAGAAATAGCCCTAGAATTCATCGGTCACTTTAAAATGATGTTGAATGCTGCCCTGGATTTCCTGGCAGCTCAGCGAACTCGTGCGCCTTGCGCCAAAGTAACATTTTTAGAGAGACACTGAGGTTTTGTGAGCGTCCCTGGCGGGCTCTCCCTGTGCCCGTGTGCGAGCGCAGGACGTTCCAGCGGGCAGACACTGAGGTGGAGCAGAGGGATTCCTCCCACGGCTTCCCATGGCCCATGGGCATGCCGTGCCGAGGGCACGAACCAGCTCCCCATGGGTTTTCAGGGAACCCCCGGTCCATTCACCCTGCACTGGAAGCAGCAGCGTCTGCCGGAGCGGCGACGGTTTCCACCGCCTCGTTCGATCTCCGTCTGTCTGGGCTCCAGCGTTCCTCGCTGGAAGCCTTGGCTTAGACTGCTGCTCCCGGAGCTGCTCCGCCACAGGCGGCTTCGTGCAGCTCACGTGGCTGCAGCCATCGGCTGTGTGAGGTCTCCTCGCTGCTCTGCTGCCTGTGCCTCTGTGCGAGGAGGGGGTTGCAGCGGCGTGGAATAAACCTCGGAAACTGCAGTGTTTGCCCCAGTGCTTGGTCTACACTGGCTTTGAAGTGCTCAGAGAGTGGTGGCCTTGAATGTGTGTGAGATGGAGTAACAGAGCGGGATAAAACTCAATAGCTCTGCCTCCTCTGGAGTTGCTTATTAAGTATTTGCATGGTCTGAATTTGCTTACAGGGCTGCAACTTCTGAGTTTTCACTGATGCTTTGGAAGGATCCCCGGGAGAGCAGCTGAGGTCTTGGGTTTTCATTGGTTCCAATTTGCTTAAGTGTTGGAGTAAAACTCATCTCAAAGTTTGTCCTTACTTTGGAATCAATGACAAAACTCCAACGAGAAGGTTTTTAGGGTTGCTGTTAGGGTATGGAGACAAAATTTATATTCAGAATTCCACTAACTCCCAAGACGAAGCGCAGTGTTGGTAGTGTGATAGATCCAAAGCAGGCCAGTATCTTCACCACCCAACGTCACTTACTCAGGTCTCAAAAAATATTTTTTTTAAAAAAGCGGGACCCCTCTTTAATTGGCATAACTTCATCTGATGAAGCTAGTAGACAGGTTAGACTTCATGATTTGAATACATTTTAGCTAATGCCTTCTAGAGCTTCCACTGTCTGTTGGGCAGTAGTGGGGATTTTATCTATGTAGATGCAGGTTTGCAGAAAGGTTAGGAAAGCTTGGTCTACAGAAAGGAAAACTGGTGACCCAAATTAACAGGGTAAGTGCAAACTCTATCCCATTCCTTCCCTGCACTGTGCATAGTATGCATAGACTAAAGGGAAGTGCTAAATGCTTTCAATTTTTTTTTTTAATACTCTCTAGTACAGGAAACAGGGAAGTATGTCCCTGTGTACCTTCAGGAATGCAGATGATGTCTCCCCTGATCCACAATAATAAAAGCTCCAACATCTTGAGGGGGTGGGGAAATGGACATTGCAGAACTTTTCTGTTTGCCTTTCCCATCTAGTCTTTCTTCACTTGCTGGGCAGGTGTTAATAGAGAGCACTAAAGCATGTTAAAGTGATAGTACTTGTTATATCCAGAAACTTTAAAATTTAGGTTTCCTTTCCATAAGCACTTAAGGGGAAAGAAATGAAATATTTCCTTTTACATTTGATGTACAGTCCTACAGCCAGTAAATTTGAATCTATGGCAGAATTTCTAAATGTTATCTATATAGCATAAATTTGGGGTCTCATTTTTCAGAATTGCTGGTTATCTACAAGCCTAGATTATTTGAATGGTAACTGCAGATGTTTAGTGCTTTTGAATGGCAAGTAATGACAAGTTTCTTTTCCTTACCATGCAGAAATCGGTAACTTGACATATTGTGTGTGCCTGTATGGATGTTCATGCAAATTGGGTTATATATAATTTATATGTGTCTTCAGTCTACCCAGAACTCTTACCGAGTCTTATATTTATGCATGCTACATAGTAAGGTGGTGATTCTTCTTTCTGATTTAGTGACTGTATTTTGATTTTTGTTGTTGTTGTTGTTTGGATTTTATTATTTTCTTTTATCCTATGTCCTGTAACGCAAGCAGGTTAGGAGGGCTGTGGGGAGGATACTGGCTGTTCTGCAGTCCTCACTCAGTGAAACATAAACCAAAAGCCATCGCTTTGTTCCATTTCTCCATTTTTTGACACACCTTGCCCGTACGAAGGGTGGCCTGGGTTGCCTCCGTGTCCTGGAGGGGACAGTACTTCCTCAGTGGCAGATCTTGACTGGGCAGACGCGGGATCGGGCTGGCACCCGGCTGGCCGCACGGCTCACGCGTGACCGCAGGGTCCCCGCGCGCCGACGGCCGCTGCAGGGCAGCAGATGCAGCCGGGAACTCCCTGGCGAGCGCGGAGATTCCTCATCCTCCTCTCTCATATGCGAGGGAACCTGATCCGTTCCAGATGTGCGCAGCCTTAGTGACTCAGGAAGGCGCTCCCTCAAAATGAGGCTTGCAGCACAGTCCGGTGTCGCCTTTTCGAGGAAGATCTGAAGTCTTCTGCCAGCCCCCTGTCAGAGAAGCTCTTCACAGAGTTTAATAGCAAGTGTATTTTATGGAGGAGCTGTAACTGGGGGCAGGTAGTGTTCTCGTAGAAAGTTGGCTTTCTAAGCTTCTTTATCTGTTGAAGAAAATGTTGTTTTAAACATCACCATTTTAGGGTGATGCACTTTTAGCAGTTAAATGGTAACTTTAGGAAGGAGTAACACTGACTAATGACAGTTACATTGACATTTTTTTCTGGGCTTCGTTTTCAGTAGAATTTACTGCGAGCACTTACCATTCCTTAGGAAGAACAGCATTCTCAGAGAGTCCCAAAGAGTTAGTGTTGCATCTCATAACGCTACTGCTACAAAGAAGGGTTCTGTTCATTGCAAGCCATGCTCTTAAGTATAAAGACATTTGTGTAGACGGGAAAGAGGTAGTGTCAGTGATGATGTCAGATCATGGTAATCGGGAGACATTTGTGTGGCATGCTTTGCATTTAATATCAACTCTGCAAAAAATGCATATCTTGTAACTTTCCATCACTTACTAAATTAGATATTTCTAGATTTTTGGCTCTGATGGATGTTGATTTAATTTTTAAATCATAGTAACAGATGCTTTTATAAACTTCATGAGAAGTATTCCACAATAATAAAGTGTTTTTTTTTTCTTATTTTCAGATATATGCCTGTGATTATTGCAAAAACCCAGCAAATTGTTTTGTGTATCTTGATAATCTTTCAGCATTTCAAGAATATATGTTGAAGTTGCAACCTAAAGATTTTAATACTTCCTAGCACTCTCATATACTTGTCCCATTACTCCTGCTCAAATTATTTGACTTCTCAAGCTAGTTTTTCATTGGATCTTGCCTTGGAAATGCTTTTGGAAATGTTTATTTGCACTGATAGTTGATTTCAACAATAAGCCATAAGGTTTAGAAAGTAAAGTGTACAATTAGAGGTAGGATTAGTTGGTTTCTGTTGTTAATTGTAGGCATAAAAAAGCAGACACACTTCCTGAATATTTGCACTTGACTTGTCAGAAGCTGTCATTGAAATGTAAGCCATAATTTTGGGCTATAATAGAGATCATCGTAAGAGAACTGAGTGCAGGAAACATACACCACAAATATTGCCTGCATTAAATGGAAAATACTGAAAAGTTACACTTATAATAAATCTGTAAGCACCAGCTTTGGAGACTAGTCTGCCTTACTCCAAAGTTCACTTTAGAATCATTTTTAATTTTCACAATGAATTACAGTTATTTTAATTCAATCATTCCTTTCAGTAAGTGGCATACTGAACATGACTGCATCATGTTACGTCCACCATAAACACCCAAGGAAAGATTAGTCAGGTTCAGTTGATGTTTATTGTAATTTTCATACGTTTTCTACACGTACAGCAGTTTCTAGATTTTGTTTGAGCCTCTGTGTCATTTGTCCTTTCCATAGCATAACTCCAAGAGGATTTTTGGAAGGTTACTAGAGTGTTAAACTAGCCTGGCAGAGAGATGGAGGAACATTTGTATTCAAATGTGGCATAAAAATATTTTGCACTTCTCTTAAAGTCTTCCACTGTTTTGCTCTCTATAAAATCAAATAAACAGTAAGTAATGTGAAATGATTTCACATTAGAATTATAGAATTTCTTGACAGGTGCAAAATACAGTGCCAGACCCAGACATTTGGGAGATGCTGGTTCCCTTTATGACCCACTGTGCTCTCTGTTGGGCATTTGGCACAGACCTGAGCTAGTAACCTCCAAGCTCTTGCACAGCTGAGTTACAACAATCCTGTGGTAGGAAAGAACAAAGAAATTGTGAAAGTCACCAAGAGTTAAACTGGTGTAATTGTTTTGCCAACAGTGTTGATGATAGGACCGCCTACCTGGCACTGGGAGCAGTGAGGAACATCTCGCTTAACATTTCCATCTCTAACATCGGGGATGATGCCTACGACACCAACGTTTTCTTCAACTTTTCTGGGGAGCTCTTCTTCATCAAAATGTGGCAAAAGGTAAGAAAGGCAAATTTCTCCCTGAGCAAGCCTCCTAATATAGAACTAGTCCACGTATAGATATGGGAATGTAGAGTGGCCTGGTCCACATAGCTGAGACATTTGGGAATTATTTCTGGTTATACTGGGCTTGAATTTGTTCCAGACTCTTTATTGAGGTTGTTTCTTTTGTTGGGTTAATCTGTGAAAACTACATCCTTGGCGTTTCTGTAGAAGACACAGCGCTGTTATTTGAAGTGTGCTAATGAAAAAGAAGGCCTCTTTGGTTTTAGGGAGTTGACAGAAAGAGGGAGACTGGTCTGTAGGATACTCAGTGGGGCTGAACTACAAAGGCTGCCGCTAGTTTGAATGAAGAGGGGTGCCAGGCTACATTCACTGGTCCTGGTCACCTCCTCACCTGGGTTCCCAACTGCTTCTTTGCAGAAACCAAAGCACAAGGCTGTTCAAGGGTGTTCTTGGTCAAGGACTGGGTTTTGGCCAGGACACAACCCTACATTCAGGAGCTCAAGAACACTCTGGACGAGTACTTGGCTATTAATGTTAGCGTGAGTTTCACTTAGAGAGAAAAAGAAACACTGAATCAAGCTTTTCACAAACTGATGGCCCTCAAAACTTTGAGAGCAAAGTTGTGTGAAAGCAGTTGTGTAAAATGAGAACTGCACACGTAACAACATGTTGGCTATTTTTCTCAGTGATTCATCTCTCTGCTGGAGCTCTACTATTCTGTGTAAGCCATGAGAGCAGTATCGGAAACAGTAGCATGACTGTTGCGAAGTGGGATGAACTTAATCCGCTGGAACAGTGGCATTTTGCCAGTATTTGTCATATTTTATAAAGAGGGATTATTATTCATTTCAGTTATTATAAACCTCTTGAACTGCCTCATTATAATAAACCAAAATATAATTTCTGATACATGTTAATTTTCATGCTGTCCAATTTTGACTATTACATCTCACATACAATTTCAAACCTTGAAAACCTTGTTTTTGGATTGTAAAACTTATTTCCAGACACTGTGTGCTGCAAGTATGCTGTTTATCAGGATAACAAAAAACCAACCAAACAAAAAAAAAGGAGAAAGAAAGTAGAAATGCCTCATGCCAATGTGCAATTTCTCCTTAATGGAACTTTTGAATGAAGACTGTCAGGGTCTGGCCTAGTTCCCATTGAAGCCAATGGGAGAGTTTCCGTTGTTTTGCACTGGAAAAAAACAGATCTTGAGGTATATGTTTTAACAGTTACCTTATTATTTTTTCTCCCCTCTGCTTATGTATTGAGTATTTAAAACACAAAGTTATCTGAACACCAGTTGGCTTAGCTGTTCTTCATGGCCAGCACTGTTAGGGAACCAGCTGAAGGTGACAGTGCTGTTTCCCACTGATATTTTGCCTTAACCCTGCATCAAAACTTGAAGCAGTTGTGCTGAATGCTATGTAGAAAGAGCACTTTCTGGAAACAGATGACACTTGTAGGGTTATCTCACTACTCGATGTCTTCTCTGATAGCAGGAGCTAGCATTTCTGTTTTAAAAACAAAACAAACACAAAATACACATCGAGCAAGCATGCAGGCTCCCTTCTTCCCCCTTCCTAGCTTTTCATTTCATAACTATTTTACCAATAGTTTTGAAAACAAGGAACAGGTCTGTATTGGGCTATTATTTTTCTCTTAATGAGCTCTTGCTTCAGGACCAATCAGTGTGTCATTTGCCTCTCCATCTGTCCAGATGGGGAACTGAATTACAACCTTATAGCCTCAATTGCAGTGTTGCATTTTCCCTAGACTCCTTGAACAGTGATTTTTTTGTAAGATATGATGGACTACATGCTTCATAACCTACTCCTGTCCCTTGACATCTATGCATAATAGGTGCTGTGCAGTACTTTAAATGGATTTTGTTACTGGCTGAACGTTGCCCAGGCAAAAATCCAGAACATAAAGTCTGAGTAGAAATAAGATCATAAGATTTGCCTTAGTGGACTAATTTCAGCATCAGCAGAGCTTCTTCTTATGGGACACTCTTTGCAGCAACTGCTTGTTAATGAATATCACTTAAATGAAAGAGAAAATGTATTTTCTGTGCAGTTACTTAATACTTTTTCTCTAGGGTTTCTCTACAGTATCTTAGAGAGCAATGACTGCGTGATGAGCTTTTGTTATCTGTCTCTGTAGTCATTTCAAGAGGCTATGAATTTGCTGTTTGTTTTCCCTGCGTCTCCAGTGGAGCTTCTAGTAGACTGAGTACAATTTCTTTAGATTAGTTACACTGAGAATAGAGAACACACAATTTTAACAGTGTTTCTCAACGATTGGTTCTTTAAGTAAAGTAGGTATATGAACAGTCATTGAGACAAAAATCCACAAAATCTACTTGAAGAGAAAATGACAGCCTCACCTGGTGATGATGAAGGTAGCATTCAGCTAAATGCTTTAGTGGAGCCAGCCCTTGCTGCTTCGTGAAGACTGAGATATCATGAGCTCTGATAGACAGAGCACCTGGCAGGGCTTCGTTGCTTCTCAGGGAGGCAAAAAAGTGTTCATGGACTGATATTTAGCAGGCTTGATTTATTCCACTGTGTGATTTTCCTTTTGCTCTGCAGCCAGTCCTCCCCAGCTCCGTGGATGGAAGCCCGGAGTTTTCTTTCCACTGCTCCTGACGGACAGTCCTTTGATGGAGAGGCACAGTACGCAGCATCACTTTAAGGGACAATCTTTGCATCCCTCCTTGCTTTCTTCTTTCAGCATTTCTTACTCTGTCATCACTGTTGCCATCTAAAGTGGCAGCCATCACTAAACATAGTTTGATAGACATGCTGTTCTTCATTTCATTGTGATTACATTCACTAATTGTAGATACACTGGTGACAATACCATTGTTGGCGGTGGCAAGACTTACAAACTTACCCATTCACTTAGAAAGAAAGATTATTTTTTACCATATTGAGTGGAAGCAAGAGACAGACCTGCTTCTGTGTAGAGTAGAAATTTATTTTTCTAATCTAGACATTTATTATCCCATAATCTAAGTCTGATTTCAGGGAAGCATTGTTGCCCAGAGCTTGAAAAATCTCCTAACAGAGCGGGGAGGGTATCACTTTGCCGTAAGGGAGAAGGCAGAGTGATGTTTGTGTGTTAAGGTGTCTGGGAAGGAAATTAAAAGCTATTCCTGTTTATTTCTACATCAATTTAAATCTGTTACACTAGTGTCACTGCCTGTTGACTTCTTTGTAGCATGAGATACCATTCTGCCTGCTCCTGGCTGAGAGTCCAGCTCTTCTTGTCCCTTCTGCTGCGTTAGTTTTCTGTGAGCTTAGTGAGATGAGCTGAGGCTTCCTGAAGGCTGAAACTGGTATGAGATAAGTGCAAACAAAGCAGTGGAAGTACCTGACTGAGGGGCTGAGATTAGGAGTGGGGCACAGGCAGGACCATATCGTTTGACAGCAACTGTCTATTAAGTCAGCTCAGGTACAGCGTGTATTTCACAGCAAGGGCATAAAGATGCCATGTAGCACATCAATGCTAAGACCAACAGTAACAGCCCATGGTGTTAATCCCCCACTGCTCTTAAAGAGCTGTGCAAGAGCCGCCTGGAGTGTGAGAGCTAACCTCGCTTCAGCGCTCCTTGCGGAGAGAGATCAGGAAATCCCATTGCTGACATGCACTTCCAGCCGGGGATTATTTGGTTATTTCGGAGAGGCTCCCAACCGCCCGGCCAGCTGCGATGCTCCTGCTGCTCCTCGCTGCTTGCGCAAGCAACAGATGAAGTTAACAGCGCTGCAGCAGGCAGAGAGAAAGCAGCAAGGTTACGGGTTCCTTCAATGCTGTCATTTCTCCTAATTCCTTAGTGAGCATGTGAAGCTTTTTTGCTGATTACGAATACTCAGATATTTTGAGTCACGTTGCTTCCGTTCTGGGGTTTTTCTGCTGATGAGCCACGCGATACCGGCTCTTTCTCGGCTTGCAGCGGTCGCGCATTTTGGGCGAGAGCTCCTTCTCGCCCTGAACGCCCGGCTGAGAGAGCCTGCAGGAGGAGCGCACGCACGCACAGCTTCATATTTTCCAAACTGGAAATTCTCTTATGCTGGTTTCCAGTGCTGCTCATACTTTCTAAGAGTTTTAAGGCTGGCGGAAGGAGGGTACTGATAAAGCACAAAAGCCAAAGACTTGTGCCTCCTTTAGCATCCTGCTGTGCCGGTGGGAGGAACTGGTTATTCGTTCCCAATTATTCGTTATGGCTCTCTCTTTCCAGCTGTTATTGCCCTTTTGCATCTACTGGCAGAGAATTTAATGTGATTGCTCCCAGTTCATATCCAGCTGGTTAGTTGAAACCTTTTAAATTAGTGATTTGAGTTAATCCAGCTGATTTTGTGTGGAGTGAGTTGGAATTGCTCCCCTGAACCTCTCTGCCAGAACGTGAGAGGTGGGGAATGGTGCCAAGCAGCATGGAAGCTGTGACCCCTTCCGCTGACACGAGCACATCTGGCAGATCGTCCAAGCAATATATCACTTAAGCAAGGGGACTTGAACCCTTTTTCCAGGCGAATTTTTATAGGCAGGACTTGGGAATATCAATGGTATGGCATGACTGCCACAAGTGTATAAGTTCTTAATTTTTTTTTTTTAAAAAGACTCTCAGTTCAACCTGACTTCATTGTTTATTTTAATTTTCTTTTTCTGTGAATGCGTAGTGAAAAACTCCACTTTTATTCTTCCTTAGGGATCAGTAATGAGCAAGTCTTTTTCAGGCCAGAGGTTGTTACAGCCATATAGTATCCTCATAGCAGGTAGTAATTGAAGTTTAAACTTTTGAGCCTGAATTTACCGTCGAGATTCACTTATCATTCCCCAGCTCAGGGAATGGGCCTTCAAGATTAGGTTGAGTTGTGTAATTAATACTGGTAGGCGTCTTAAAAATTTACATATGTTCTACTTTGATTTATCATGTATATCTAATACGGGATCTTCTTTATTTTTCTTAATTAATCAACTCAAAGAAT